GTCCCGGTCCGGTACGGGGGCAACACTGAGGGTTGCGATCCGTTGCCGGACAAAAAAAAAAAAAAAAAAAAAAAAAAAAACTTGTTATTTTAAGATGTTATGGTTATGTTTATCCTTTTCCTCCAATGCTGATGACTATGTTAACTTGTGTGGTCATCCTGCTGTAATGAGTGGAATTATTTATTAAGTGAGTATTTTAAGCAGGTTGTTTTTAGTTTAAATCATCAGCCAGAAAGATGCAAGATTTTTATATGGAAGAAACTTTGAGATAAACTTAACACAAAAATTTCTCAACTTTTAGACAGTTTTAAGCTTAATTTTAGAAGGCATAGACTATTCTGCTTCAAATAATGACTTACATGGGAACGTGTCTAAGGAGCTTAACCTTAAAGCTCATGACTGTTTGTTGAGAAGACCCTCTTAATGTGACCGGGATCCCTGATGCTTTTCATGTATCTCTAGATTATCCTTCCTTACCTAGATCCATTATGTCCCTGACAGTTCTTCCCTTAAACTTCAGAGAGGAGAAAGGGCTGGAACTCTCACTGTGTTCTGCAGAGTGACCAGGACCAGCCACATCTCTGCTGCTTCATTTCTTCATGTTAAAGCCAGAGGATGCATTAACTTAGTGACAGGATGCCATGGTTTGAAAAACTGAGCCTAAGCATTTCTTTGTGAAAGAGAAGGGATCTAGACCAGGCCCTGATAATGTAGAGGCTATTAATGTCATGGAAAGAACAGAGGGTAGGGAGCTGGGAGACCCAGTTCTCATCTGCGCCCTACAGCCAACTTTTCCACCTAGGATGAGAGTTTTATGAGGGTAAAATAGATCAATGATCAGCCATTTATATTTAGAAACAATATCAAATATAGAACAAAAACTTCAATATGTTCATAATCTTTGGTATTTGATTTAGCAATTCCGTTTCTAGAAATTTATCCTAAGGAAAAATTAGACATGTTGAAAGACTAATGTACACAAATGCTCACTATTATCTTTAATTTACAGTGCAAAATTGGATGCAATCTAAATAATCTACCGTAGGGAGCCAGTTAAATATGAATATCCGGGCTGAGCCCGTGGCGCACTTGGGAGAGTGCAGTGCTGGGAGTGCAGCAGCGCTGCCACCGCGGGTTCGGATCCTATATAGGGATGACCGGTGCGCTCACAGCGCTCACTGGCTGAGTGCGGTGCGGCTGGTCTCAAAAAGGACAAAAATAAATAAATAAAATAAATAAATAAATATGAATATCCACAGGATGACCTATTGTGCAGCTATTTGTAATCATATTATTGAAAATAGCTTCATGTTCTAGGAAAATGTTCATTTTTAATTTATAAAAAGCAGATGATAAATCCATTAATTAGTATAATTCCAGTTTAATATTTTAAGAACTGCATGTGCACATGTGTGCGTGTGTGTGTGTGTCTGGGTCTTGCGTCTGGGCTGGTCAACTTTGGAGATGCTGTTCAAACTTGTCTGGGTCTATCTGGAGAAATGATGGTATTGTGGACACATACTTACCTTTGCAGGAGGCTCAGAGACTTCCCAGGAGACAGCACATCCTGAAAGAAGGAAGAATTAGGGCAATTAGGACGATAAGCTGACTTGATAGAGCTCCTCAGCAGTCTGGGGGGAGGTCCGTGCTGAATGTGTTGTGGTGACCCTGCTCCCATCAGATGTGTGTCTGACCCCAGTGGGTTTCAGGCCTGAACAAGCACAGAGCTCTGGAAAGCAGTGGGCAGCTGTTACCTGGCTCGGGACCTCTCTGGTGGCAGGAAATTAAACAGGGAGAAGGGTATTCAGTCCCTTTAGTGCAATGGTTGAGGGCCAGAGAAGGAGCAGAAAAGGAGGGAAAGCCTCAGTGAGAGCTTGGGGATACCTCGGAGACTCCCACAGATTCCAGGGGAGTGGCAGGGCCGGGAGCCAGCATCAGCGGGTGGGTGCAGTGAGCGGGCGGCATTTAGGCCCTTTGCTCCTGTGCCCTGACTATCCTGGACTGGTGAAGCTTGAGGAAGTCCAGGCATTTGTGGGGACGTGAGGGGAAGGATGCATCCCAGGATGTTGACGGTGGTTATCTCTGGAGCGTGGAATTGTAGATGATTTTAAATTTCTTCATACTTTTCAAAAATTGAACATATTATAATTGGTAAAAAAAAAAAAATGTGTTTGCTTCAAGTCATATACCCTTCAGAAGTTGGAACAAAGTAGCACGTGAGTAGCTGGGAGTAGTAGCCTGCTCTGGATACCAGCAGGCAGGTGTGTTATTCTTTTACAATATTGTGCTGCTGTCGGGTGTCCAGGTGGTGAGGCAAGACATCAGCCCACCTGGAAGTCACACCAGCTCTGGTGCACTGCAGTGGCACTGAGTGGGAGGCTGACAGGGCACTGACTCCCCCGTGTCCCCCCCCCCCCCGGAATAGCCCGGTTGAGGGTCAGGGGACACGCAGCGTGATGGGGAGAATTGTGTCACTGCCGAGAAGCCCTGGTGGATGGGGGAGGGGCCAGGGGAAGGCGAAGAAAGGAGAGGAAAAGGGCTGAATCGGAGTGGAGGAAAACGCCTCCGCCCAGGGTCGCAAAAGGAGCCCACCAGCGGAGGCAACCAGGCGACCAGGCATGGCGCGAGCCTGGTGTGAGGTGTGTGGGAGCCCAGCTGGTCACCCGGGCAGGTCGCCCTGCGCCTCAGTGTCCTGCAGCGACTGCACCAAGCCCAGTGTGCATGGGTGGCAGGGGGCGCTGCCCCCATCCCTGCCTGGAAGGAAAGCTCACAGCATCCAGGTCTGGCCTGGAGCCGGACTTGTCCTCATATTTATTTGAATAAACCTTCATTAAAACCAGGAGAAGTTGTTCGAGTTCCTTGTCTATTCTGGATATTAATCCTTTGTCAGATGTATATCTTGCAAATATTTTCTCCCACTGTGTTGGTTGTCTTTTAACTCTGTTAATTGTTTCTTTTGCCATGCAGAAGCTCTATAGTTTGATATAATCCCATTTGTTTATTTTTCCTTTGGTTGCCCATGCTTTGGGGGTCATGTTCATGAAGTCTGTGTCCAGTCCTACTTCCTGAAGTGTTTCTCCTATGTTTTCTTTAAGAAGTTTTATTGTTTCAGGGTGTATATTTAATTCTTTAATCCATTTTGAGTTGACTTTAGTATATGGTGAGAGGTATAGGTCTAGTTTCATTCTCTTGCATATTGATATCCAGTTCTCCCAGCACCACGCAGCGTGGATGGCCGTGGCCGGCTGCACAGTCAGCGCCTGCTCAGCACCGAGTGGGGGCTGCCCAGCCTTGCCAGAGCGGTGAGCCTGCCCCGCCGGGGCTTCTCCATGGTGCACCTCCAGTCCTGCCCCCAGCTCCGCACCCCCTCACTCGGCCTTCCCCTGCTGGGGCGGCCACCACGACATGCCACAGAAGGACACGTGTTTTCTCACACGTCTGGAGGCGTCAGGTCCAAGATGGAGGTGTGGGCAGGGTGGGTTTCCTCAGTGGCCCTGAGGGAGCCATCTGCTCCAGACCTCTGTCATGGGTCCCAGGCTGTCCCTCTCTGCACACGCAACCTGGGGTCTCTGTGTCCTACTTTCCTCTTCTTGGGGGGGCAGGTCATACTGGATTAGGGCCCACCAATCTGACCTCATTTTCGCTTAATCACCTTGGTAAAGGCCCTGTCTCCAAATACAGTCACATTCTGAGGTGCTGGAGGTTAGGGCTTCAACGTGTGAATTTTGGGGGGACATAATTCAGCCCATAAAAAATCTCTTCCTCAGAAGAGAAGCCACCAAGAAGGCCATTGAAAATGTAAATCTGAGGACAACTTCTCCCCAGAGAGTCAAGTCCTGACATGGCCTTGAGGCCCTAGTGTGTCTCCCTCCCCTCCTGTCAGCCCTTGCTGATCCTGGAAGTCACACAGGCTCCTGTGTCAGGGCCTGTGATGTCCTGTGGCCTGGCCCAATGACCCCGGGGCTCTGTGTGGCACCTCCCTTCCTGGAGCCTCCCTGGCTGCTGTGTCTAGAACAGCAGGCCCAGGGCTCCCTGGACCTCACCCTGTTTCATTTTTTGTTAAAGCATTTATGACTGTCACATACTCAACTTTGTTTGAATAGATTTATCTGTTCACTGTCTGTCACCTGCTGGAGCAAAGCACCCTGAAGACAGGGCTTCTGTCTCTTCTGTCCATGGCTGTGCCCCCTGTTACATCATTTGTTGAATAAATACATGAATTAATGAGTCAATGAAATAGCATTCTGTGCTTGATGAAATTAAATGGAGTTTTTAACACATAATCATGCTAGTTTTGCTTTTTTTTTTAGATTTTGGGGACCAGTAGGACTTTGACATACATCAGAGAATATTCTGTTGTGGATCCAGTGGAAAAGAAAATGGAACTTTGTTCCTCCAATGTAAGCAATGGCCTAAGACGAGGAAGGTGCTTAATTTTTCTCAGTGATGGAGCATGCCTTCATCTAATTTTATTTCTAGCCCACCGTTGGTTTAAGTGCTGTATATTTTTTTTTAAAGCCTGAATTAATTTAGAGTATTTTCTTTATCTTTTTATTCAAGTATAATAAATGTATAGAAAAATGTGCATGAGGATGGCTTGTCACAAAGCAGACTCACTGAGTAACCAGCAGGCAGATCAAGCAACAGAACGTGACCAGCCCCCTGGTCCCCCCTCCGTGCTCCTCTCCCCCAGGATAACCACTTTCCCGTGCCCCAGCAGCCGGGATGACTGTTGGCGGTTGTGTTTAAAAGTACTTTCCCATTCACTCTTCTCTCACTTCTCTCAGTTAAAACAATGTATATTGGTCTAATGCAAATTCAAACAACATGCGGGAGAGAATGCATGGGCTAGAGAAATGGTTTATTTCATAAAATGTTACTTATTTTTAGCAAAGATAGAAATGGGCTATTGGGGGTGAAATCATAACATGGTGCCTCTATGTGGCATTCTCCTTGCCCACATGTCCCTCTGTCTGGCCCACCTTTGTCCCTGCACCACGGTGGTGGTTCAAGTCCTCATTCATTTATAGGTTCCACCAACAGGATCAGTCACCTCCCATGTGTCAGGCGCCATGCTAGGGGTAGGGAATGCAAGGATTAAGAGACTTTCCTCCCCTTACTGGCTTCGTGTGCCATGGGTGGGCATATGAGCCAACTGTATGGATGGAGGCATGTAAACACCAGGGCAGGAGCCCCCCGTGAGAGAGGAGCTAACAGGCTGGCAGCTGAAGGCTGGCAGGAGTTCTCCAGACAGACTAGCAGTGGGCACCCTTGAGCCTTAGCACTGGCTACCCAGGGAGCCACAAATGTCAGTACTGGAGACTAAGAAGAGGAAGGTGGTGTCTTAGTCTGTTTTGTGTTGCTCTAACAGAATACCTGAGACTGGGTATGTTGCTTTGCCTTCAACGGATTTGTCACCCGTTTTCCCCTGGGTGATGGAGCTGCCAAAGATTACTCAAAGCCCATGTCTTCTGAGCAGTGAGATGCCCCCAAAAGGGGTTAATCTCCCGGAATCCTCAAGAGTGAGGCGTTCCTTCCATTTGGGAAATTAACCACGAATTGGGGTTCTCTTCCCACATTTATTCTTCAGACCAGGAAGTTATAGGAAGAGAACATAGGTGGGGTTTTTGCTAAGTACCGTTTAACAAGTTTAACAATAGAAGCTGGTAACATGCAATTAAGTCGATACACTAACAAAAGCTTGATTTTTAGCAAACACCTTCTCCCTACACAGCTTCCCAGTATCTTTACTTATCCATCAGTAACTTGTCTGTCTTTGAACCAGCAGCCTTGCTGTGTTACAACTCTTTATCTTTCAACAGAGACTAAATAGCCTGGGGAAAATTTCATGGTTTTTGTAAGGCCAATATTTGAAACTGCAAGGTTTTGGAAAACCAGGCCCTGTGAAGTACATTTGCTTTATGCATACTCTACATGGGTAATTTATAAAGAACAGAAGTTTATTTGGCTTACAATTCTGGGACAGTTGCATCTGGCATGGACCTCAGGCTGCTTCTGCTCATGGTGGAAAGCAGCAGCCAGCGGTGGGTACAAGCAGATCAAATGGTGAGAGGAAACGAGAGAGAGGGGAGGTGTCAGGGTCTTTTAAACAACCAGCTCTCATGGGAACTAATAGAGCGAGATCTCACTCGGGCCTCCCTGCCCCCAGGGAGAGCATTAATCCATTCATGAGGGATCCACCCCCTTTAATCCATTCATGAGGGATCTGCCCCCATGACTCAAACAGCTCCCAACACTGCCACATTGGGGATCAGATTTCCACATGACCAACACGTCCAAACTCTATCAGGCTGTGTGGGAGAGATGAGGCTGGAGAGGGACTGGGATACAATCACAGAAGGCAGGGGAGCTGAGGTTCTGTTTTGCAGTGATAGGGAGCCATTGAGAGTTTGTTGAAGGAGGGTGATGTAATCAGATTGTGTGTTGGGAAGACCACCCTGGCAGCTTTTTGGAGAGAGGACTGGGGGACATTGGGACCTGAGCCGGGGAGACTAATAGTCCAGGGGGGCAGTAGTCCAGGTGAGAGGTGGCAGGAGGCTGCCTGGGCATGGGTGGTGGGTGAAGTTGGGGGAGAAGGGCTGGACCAGGGGTGGGAGGGGCACCAGGCTGCATGGTCTGCTGTCGTGGGGGCAGGTGTGAGAAGAGAGGGTAAGCTTGGTTTTGGACGTGCTGAGTATAAAGTCCCTGTGGGGCATGTGAGCATAGTGGGCAGTGGTCGTTCAGGTCTGACACTGAGGGTGCAAGGCCATGGGGTCTGCAGTGAGGCTGGGGTGACACGGGCTGCTGGGTGGGGCAGGCAGATGCTGTGAGTTGGTGCAGTGGGGCCAGTGCTCAGAGCAGCAGTAGGGACGTCCCCATCTTCTCAGCATCCTTTGCAGGGCCCAGAGTTTAAAACAAAGATGGACCTGCTGTGGGCCTTTGGGGTGACTCATCCCCACCCCCCAAAGGGCATCTCTGGAGCATTTTTGAGCCTCTAAGGAGGCTGTGGGAACCTTGGGCCCAACCTCCAGCCAGAGCCTCTCCATGTCTGTGTGTCCATCATCTGCCTGGCCGGCCACACCTTGTGGAGAAGGAAGCTTCCAAACCACTTCCAGGATAAAGCCCAAACTCCATACTATACCATCTGGGACCTTTGCCAGCACCCCCATTCCAGCTGCCCCTGGTCCCACATAGTCCTGTGCATGGAGTCCTGGGAGCCTGTCAGGGTCCTCTTGGCCAGTGCCCCTTGCCATTCCTGACAGTTGATATATTCTGGTCCCTCTGCCCAGAAAGTTCTATACTTTGGAAGTTGCACCTCCTCTTTCCAGAAGGCTTAGTTGTCAGTGAAGAGGACAGTTGATGCCACACTGAGGTCTAGTGAGTAGGAAGCAGGGTGTGGAGCAGGACAGATGTGCACCCACATCCCAGAGTGACCCCTGGGTGGTCGTAGGACTGGGATATGATTTACGTTTTCTGAGTCTCATGTTCTCACATAAAGAGGAAGAACAAACCCCATAGGATTGTTATGAAGACTAATGATGGGAAATGAGATTTATATAATACAGAGGCATAAAAATATTGCACATAAAATGACAACAGCTAATCAGAGTTTGTTAATAGATATGGTTAAATATTTCCGTCCAGTGTAGTAATTGCACACAAGAGTCTCTTGACAACTGTGCTCAGCAGGAGGAAAGAGACTCCCCACTAGCCACTTTCATCAGGATGGCAAGCCAGGGGAGGACTTCAGTGAGAAATTATTCCATAAGCAAAAAAATAAGTGTTTATCACTGCTGAAAGGTGACCACTTACACTTTTAAAAGTTTTGGTTACTAGGGCCGGCCCGTGGCTCACTTGGGAGAGCGTGGTGCTGACAACACCAAGTCAAGGGTTAAGATCCCCTTACAGGTCATCTTTTTAAACAACAAAAAAGTTTGGTTTACTTAAACTTTTGCCTACTTAAACTTAAAAAAAAAAAAGTGTTTTATTGGAATTGGCAAAACAATGGGTTACTGGAGTTGGCAAATTGAGTTAAAAAATGATACCTGATGGAGTTTGGATGTGCTGTCCCCTCCAAAACTCATGTGGAAATCTGATCCCCAATGTGGCAGTGTTGGAAACTGTTTGAGTCATGGGGGCGGATCCCTCATGAATGGATTAGTGCTCTCCCTGGGGAAGGGGGGTTAGTGAGTGAGTTCTCACTCTGTTAGTTCTCGCGAGAGCTGATTGTTTAAAGGACCCTGGCACCTCCTGTCTCTCTCTTGCTTCCTCTCGCCATGTGATCTGCTTGTACCCACCAGCTGCCTGCCACTTTCCACCATGAGTAGAAGCAGCCTGAGGCCCATGCCAGATGCAGCTGTCCGAGAATCGTAAGCCAAATAAAACTCTGTTCTTTATAAATTACCCAGTCTCGGGTATTCTGTTATAGCAACACAAAAGGACTAATACAATACCATTCTAGAGCTTCATTGTGCTGCGTGGTGGCCACCAGTCACACGTGGCCATTTAAATTTAAATTAGTTAGGGGTGAATAAAATAAAAAATGTCATTCCTCAGTCACACTAGCCACATTTCAGGTGTCCGTTAGCTGCATGTGTTCGTGGCTACAACACCAGACAGCACAGATAAAGGACATTGTTGTTATCACAAAAAATTCTGTGAGTCCTGTTCTAAGCTCCAGCTTTTAAGTAGGTTTAAATGGACAGTATTTGTGTAAGTGAGAAGTTTGTTTACAGGAAGTGGTACTTGCGGAGAGAAGACCTCTACAGTCTTTGTGCAGATTCAGGGCTCTGTCCTGTCCAGTCCCCCCAGACAGGACGTCAAAGCCGGGGTCTGGCATGGGTGGGTGAAAGCTTTCTGGGTACTGAGGACTATTTTGTATGTTTCTACAACTGCCGATGGCTTTGGTGGTTTGAAAGTGCCATGAAGGCCCGAGCCCTGCTGGGTGTGGGCCGGGGTGTGCAGAGAGGACGACGGCTGCCAGAAGGAACAGCTAAGCTGTGGTTTCCTGCGGACTTACTGTGGTGGCCTGTCCTGTGCCTACGCGTTTCTTCTGTGCTGCCTCGAATAAGTGCTGATTCGGGGAGGGAAGAGCGTGGACGGATGGTTTGGGAAGAGATGGGAGAGAAAAGAACCTAAAGCCATTGTTTCTTCTTTTCGAAGATCACACTCACAAATTTGGTGTCAGTTAAGGAGAGGTTGGTGTACACAGCGCATCCGGAGAACCCTGACATGTGAGTCGCTGGTCCTGGGAGTGACGCGGTGAAGGAAGGCCAGGCGTGAGGGCGGGCGCGGCGTCCTCGGGGCGCTCAGCCCTCGCTTGTCGCCCTCCTGCAGGACGGTGCTCACACAGGAGGCCACCATCACCGTCACGGGGATCAGCCTCGGCGGCTATTTGGAAAGTTTAATGGCCAACACGATATCATCCAATGCAAAGAAGGTATGTCCTCGGTCGCAGGGCCTTGTGAGTGCTGTGGTTGTCAAGTGCTAGCTTGAGTGGGTGACATTGTGAGTCCCCTAAGCCCCCCGAGTGCTGAGGCTCCGTCTTCAGCTGAGCTCGCAGTGCCTTGGCAGTTCCCAGTTATACCCAATGCCAGTGGCAGGGCCGGCCCGGGGCTGAGGGCGTGCGCTGCGGGGCCCTGGGAGCCACAGGACGCCTCTTGTCACCGAGACACTGTGGGGCAATGTGGAGCGAAGACCCAGCCGAGGCAACGCCGCTCAGAGCCCAGACACTGGAGGCCATGATCAGTGGGGACGCACCCTCCAGGCCAGGGAGCGGCTGTGTGGCCGCTGCTGTCGGCGGCATGGCGGGCTGTCATAGCTTCGCACTTAATGGGCACCGGTGGCTCTGGCCCAGCCTCTCCGGCCGCGACACCTCCCTGCAGTCAACTGCCGGCTTCACGTCTCCCCTCCAGCAGGGTTTGGGAGTGAGCTGTGGAGATGACAGGAGGAAAGATGGAGCCCAGGAGTCCGTCCACGGCTCCCCCTTGCCGCCGGGCTCCAGGCGGGCAGAGACTGTTGAGGAGTCAGGCTGCCCTCCCTCCAGCAGAGCCCACGGAACAGTGGCCTGGGGAGGACGTGTCCCTCCCGTTGAGGGCAGTGCCGCTGGCCAGGCAGGCCTTTGCTTTCACTGCTCACCCGGCGCAGGCCTCCCCGCGACCCTCCCCACGCCCCCCAGTTGTGTTGCTCAGAAGCAGTCTCCACTGTCAGCTTCAGTGCGGTGATGCCTAAGGCTGCACTGAAGTCACCGATCTGTGTGTGGCTTGCACTTAGTCACTAATGGAAGAGCCAGTCTACCCAATTTTTAAAGAAAAATCCGGATTTGAGAAGTGTAGGCAGTAGCTTCACTCAGTTCAAGGGCTCCTGCCCTAAGCCAAGCTGTGCTAGAGCCCTGTGGGAGGGGACAGAATTGTATTCATCTCTATGTTCCCAAGGCTTGGCTTAGGGCAGGAGCCCTATGTTTACTGGAAAAAAAAAATTACAAGAGGAAGGGAGAACTCAGTGAGTCCAAAGCCTCCTTACACCCATTTATGAGAAAAAAATCAGGGTAAACTCAGTGAGGCTGAATTGGCTTCCTTTCATTTCACTTTACTGGGGTTGTTGTGTTGAAGGCTTAAGAGGGACTCACACCTGCCTTAGCAAGAGAAAGGAGCCATCTTCGTCATCTCCATAGGTGGTTAGTATTTGACATTAATCCCTGTCCCTGGGGCGATGTCCTTTCCTTAGGCCTGGGACAGCTGGTGGGGGTGTGGGGGTGCCATCCCGGGAGCCCGGCCTGGGGTCTCAGGAGGTTGGGGTGCACTGGCAGGCCTGTCTGGGCTGAGGCCTTGCGTGTGGTGCTGGGACAGGCCGAGGTGGCTGTTGATTCACTGACGCAGCAGAGAATTGCAGGCGCTGAGCCCGTCCCTCCTTTCTGAGCCTGAGTTACTGCGTGCTGAGGTGGAAGATGTCTGGGAAAGGCCCCCACATGTCTCCTGTGCCGCATAGTGCCGGCCCCGCAGTGCCCACCGCAGGCTGTGGAGGCAGGTGGCTCGGCCCTGTTGAATCTTTGTGTGTCGTTGCAGGGCTGGGCTGCTATTGAGTGGATAATTGAGAATTCTGAAAGCGCTGTAAGCTGACAGCATCTGCACCCGCACCTGTGACAAGCGTGCTGACCACGGCACTCACTGGCTGGGTTGGGGATTCACTCTGCCGTGCACGTGGTCAGCGATGGTGGTCAGAGGACGTGAAGCCACGCGGCTGCACGTGAGTCTCCAGCCCCGGCTCTCCCTGGCCAGCAGGACCACGAGCTCTGTCCTGCTGCTGCGGGTCCTCGTCTCATGGCAAGAGGATCTTCGGGAAACTTAGCCGCTGTTGTCCAAGGAAGGTAGTTGGGTGTCTCTGGCAAACTGTCCTCGGCTCTTGGTTACTTAAACCGTCCTTCAGTGCTCGAGCATAGCTAGTGAAGAAGCGTTCCTTAGCAGGTCCGGAGAGTGTTCCAGCCTGATCTAATGGGGGTGGGTGGATTTCTCATTTGGGGTAAATTTGCACATGTTCTTATGAAAGATATTTTGTGCCCAGCTTTTCACTTGCCACAGCTGCACCGGCCCTTTCCTGTTCGTGGCAAAAGCCACTTCTTGCAGCTCCTTGTCTGGGCCACCTGGGCCGGCCCATCACTGGCAGATTGGCCCGGCTCCCAGCGCTCCCTGCATGTCCTCATGCCTGAGAGAGGAAGGCCTTCCTGCTTCCCTCTGCCTGAGGCTCCTCACCCTCCTGCCTCGTCACTGTGGCTGTCCCTAGGATGTCTGCATCTGCCCCTTGGTCAGCGCACAGCCGTGTGGCTCTAGGCATCTTTAGGAACTTCTTGCTGATTTTCCCCAAGTCACTGAAGCTGAGGTTTGCAGGGACCTTCAGCTTGAACCCAAGGTCTGGTCAGCCCCTGGGCCCCTCCTCTCTGGTGGCCTCACCCTGAGGCTGAGCACCCTGGGAACTCCTGCCTGGCCTGGGGTGCAGGGGGTGCTGGCTGTGATGGCCACTAATGTCGGCTCCTCGGGTCTGCTTCCTCACAAACCAGAGCTAAATTGCTTCCATCTTTAATCAGATACCTCATCCAAACTATCAAAGACGAAAGGAGAAGGAAGGAAAGAAAAAGAAGAGAAAAAGCAGAGCTAGGCTGGGCAGGGTTTGCGGCCTAGTCTGGGACAGGAGTATCTGCCGCAGGTGCCCCCCGCTCTCTGCAGAAGGTGGGCACAAGACCAGCATCTAACTGCCCTTCCTAAGGACTGTGCAATAGCCCCCGCCTGTCCCCGCCCCATCCCAGGGACATCTGGGCTCTGGGACTGCCTCACCTGCTGGGCAGGCTGCGGTGGCCGCTCCTCCTGAGCCCGACTGGCCTGTGCTTTCGCATTGCGTGGGAACTGGGGTCACTGTTGCCTGTAGCGTCAGAAGTTTGTGTTCGTGTTTTTCTCCTTATGGTTCTGTGGGCATTTCAGGGGCAAAGGCAAAACGTCTTTTTTCCACTATCTTTAAATCAAAGTTGTTTAGAACAGGGGCTGGCCGGTTAGCTCACTTGGTCAGAGTGTGGTGCTGATAACACTGAGGTCCAGGGTTTGGATCCCTTAACTGGCCAACCATCAAAAAAAATTTTTTAAAAACTAAAGTTGTTTAAAACAAGACCGACTTATAAATAATAATTTAAAACAACATCAATTTATAAATCATTTGTAAATACTTTAAGATATAAGCAATCCATGTTTATGGAAAAAAAAAAATAAAGTACTGGTCTGTTGAAGAGTAAAGGCTTACCTGCTCCCTCTGCCAGTCAACTCCCCCTTTTTATTGAGCCTTCCAGAAGTTTTCTATGCATGTGAAAGTATATGTGTGTTTTCTTTCTTTTCCTTCTTTTATTAAACACCGATGGGACCATGCTGCATACACTGGTTCGTGTCATTTTTCTGCTTGGCTCTGGAGGATTAACTGTCCACGTCTTCATTCCTGCATCCCTGGGGCCGCCTCTGTGCGCCTCGTGAGGCAGCGGGTCAGGGTGTGACACTGCGGCACCATCTCCCTGGACGGTGTCTGTGACACTTTCTTTGGTGGCATCATCTTGTTCCACTGTTTCAAGGCAGCTCTATAACTTCATAGAGGCCATGATCTAAAAATAGTACAGAGGTAGCTCTGTTGTAAGGGAGACATGGAAATTTGTGATTTTTGGAGACCACGTCTATGCGCAGGTGTGATCCTCCACAAGGCCTAGGATATGCGGAGGTCCCGTGTGTTTCTGGAGGAAGATTGCATTTTTAGGGCACAGACAGTTGTAAATGTCAGTCATCAGCCACTTCAAACTTTTGGTGACTGAAGTAGGGTGAAAGTAAGCACCTACATGTGTTGGGTTTTTTATTCTATGCTTTCCATTTTATTTTATTTTATTTATTTTTTTTTCCTTTAAATTTTTATTTTGTCAATATACAATGTGGTTGATTATTGTGGCCCATCACCGAAACCTACCTCCCTCCTCCCTCTCCCCCCTCCCACCCAACAATGTCCTTTCCGTTTGCTTGTTGTAACAACTTCAAAGGATTGTAGTTGTTATATCTTCTTCACACACACACACACACACACACACACACACACACACA